TGTTCTTTGTTGTTTTTTTTTTTTTAAAAAAAAAACATCTCTTTCATTGTTTAAAGAAATCTAATTTCTTTTCCTATTTTGTAGGAATAATTCACTCATCTTATGACCCTCTTAAATACAATAGTATGAGAACTATTTATTTCTAAAATCTGTTACACTATCATTCTGATGAAAAATTACATATCTTTTTTTAAAAGAGAGCATAGTAATTTATCTGTGAAGTGAAATATCACTAGCAGATCATTAACTTGGTACAATGAATGCACCAAACAGCTGTTACTTAGAAAATAGGACATCTGTTAAATGCCATTGAAGTCACTATTCACTGTCATTAGAGTTATGGCTATAATTTCTGTTCTGCACATTCTGTGTTCATGAAAATCTTTAATAGATGATGCATGATTAATAAAATTTCAATACACATTGCTATAAAATCCAATATTTAATGCTTTATATTATTCCTTAATTTATCATTATACTATTCTGTTGCACAGTCTAAAAGTAAAATATATCCTACAATTTAAGCCATGATAATATGCAAGGTCTCAAAAAAGTAATCAATAGAAAGTTCAATCATGTGTAAAGCATATTAGACTGCATTATGCACTCTTGAGGAGCACAACACACCTACACAATTAATTTAAATTTAAATATAGATTGACATATAAAATTGAAATTTAAAAATCCCAATGTAATAAATTTCCATCTCTTAATTTTGTTTCAATTGCCCAGTTTCTCATGATCAGAAATGCTAGGATAGTTACACATACACTTGTATTGCCCAACATTTTAAGATATCTTTTATAAGTCTATTAAGCAATCCATCATCTATATTTTAGTGCATAAGATATAAATAATGCCTAAAATAAAATTACTACAATATCCCAATAAAGAGAATTATAATATAATAAATGCCTGTAAAGTACATATTTGCATAAATGTGTGGTTAGGTAAAGATATAAACTGTAAGTAGACTTTCTTAAGAAACTATTTTAAAAGGATTGAATGACTGCACTGTGCCATTATATATAGACATTATCCTTAGAATAATTGTCATGGAGAAATTTCCAGAAAACATACAGAGGCATTGAAAACTTGGGAAAACATGTAATTAAGATAGTATGATATTTTCAAGCCCAAATGAGCCCTGTCTTGTATTCCTGGAGAATAGTGCCTATATGTTTGTTTCTGTGAAATTAGATAATTATTCCAATACCTTTTATAAGCATAAAGTTAAAAAAAAGAATATCAACAGAAACCAACAGAGTAAGATTTCCCATCAAAAAGTAAATTCACGACTAAGTGTATTCACTTTAGTGTATGTACCTCACCATTTCCAAAATCATCTTCACTAGTACCTATGAGGAATTGATATGAACACATTTTTCACATTGTCCATGAATACATTGCAAATATTCATAAGAATAAATTAATTGGTTATACCAATTCTACCATGGTAATGAAACCACAGTAGCTTTTAACAATTTTGTGTATAAGTAATAGTATATTTGTTTACTGGAAATCGTCAAACTTAGTTCTTAATATATCTGCATCTACCTGCTCACATATTTTACCCATCAAAATGTTAACATTTGGAGAAATTATTGTTTCAGTAGAATTCTGCTCATGTATCAGAATTTTCCCAGGGGTCTTCCCTGAGAAAATCCTTTCCAGAATCCTGTGGATACGTCCAGCATAGGGTTATCTGAGGAAAAAATGTCTATGTATATGATGCTTGTTCATCTGTACACTTTCTCTAAGACAAAATTCTATCTATAATGCTTCAGCTCCATCCTCACATTCAGCTCCTCTTTGTCCCTTCTTATTCTATCCTCTCATAGCCCTAGTAATAACTAAACCCCTTATGCTTTTGATCTCATCTTCATCCCCTGTTCCTTCATCCTCTATCTTTCCTTCTTCTCCTCTCCTGACCTGATTCAAATCCACTTACAGTCTTCAGAAATTTTTCTTGCTTGAACCATACTCTACAAAAACTCTGCGTTCTCCCCACATCTCTGGCCACAGGACTCTGTTCTCACCAGGAATTCTGCTCTAGTCCTTTTTGTGCAAAAAGCCCTATTGTCCTGAGTTAATCACTCTTCAATGCTACTAGACCTGAAAGAAAGCAATAGGTCAGAGCTGTTTCTTCTGTTTGCCATATGGCCTATTAGTATATGAGCACACAAGAATTTCATATCAGAAGATAGGTGATATATATTAAACCTGAATAATACCAAATATTCCATGATAAATGGCTGCCCTCTTGAAGTACTACTTGGTCAGTCAAGGCATACCTTATTATATACAGCTGAATCTCTATAATATATTCTTGCAGCTCACTGCACTCATGCTAAACATTTTGTGCTGCATCATGAACCCATTGCTATCACCTATGCAGTTCTAATTTCACTGTTCTTATGTCTCCAAAAGTATATACAATTATCATAGAGGTCAAAATATTACATAGTAAATATAATCTTACTTTTTCCTCACCTTAAAATCAATATAAGGCGCTTACACATAACAATTTGAGGGAAAAGCAAACAAACCAACAAACAAAAACCCTAAGTATAATTGAGTATAAAAGCAGGAATAATCTTTTCATCTGTATCATTTTATCTTTTATACCTAGAACAACAATAGCCAACTTGTATGTTTTTACAGTATATATTTTAGCCACTAGTATACAGATTTTTTTAAAGAGTTGAAATCTAGTCCATATATATTCATTAATAAATGAGCAACGTCTGCCCAAACCTGCTACTTTCATATTCCAAAAGACATTTAATAGTATTATATGTGGCAATTATACAGTAGTGTCTGGAGTATAAGAGGAATACAATAAACACTCATGATTGATATCTGAACAAATGGATTTTGTGAAATGCTAGTCTCACTCATGTACAAGAAATAGTACCTACAGTATAAGTAATCATTTCTGTCATAGCAGGAAGATTAATCAGGCACAAGTTACCTCAGTACCAGTATTTTAATGTTAAAATGTGAAGAAAAACACAAATATAAAAATTCATAGATGAAAATTATTATTTGTTGCATACTTAGTTGTTCAATCAGTGTTTTAAAACATATTTATTTATTCTTTCTGTTGATTTGATGTCCAAAGAAAGAATCAAAAAATAAAACTGAATGAAATTAAGGACATAAATGTGCCTAGGTGTGGTTGAGGGGGATTTTATTATAAATATGAGGTAGAGGACATCTAGAGGCCAACAGAATAGACTGCACCATGAAGGAAAAGAAGAGGGGGATGTAGACGAAATTCTAAACGGTCTTATTAAATAAGAAACACCGAGCCAAATACAGAATTAAAAGCGTAAGCGATCAGAGCACTAGAAAATAGCCTTTAGCTTGCTGTCTTTCTCCTCAGAGCGAGCTTCTAATGTCTAACTTCTCTCTCTCTCTCTCTCTCTCTCTCTCTCTCTCTCTCTCTCTCTCTCTCTCTTTGGTTTTTCGAGACAGAGTTTCTCTGTGTAGCTTTGTGCCTTTCCTGTAACTTACTCTGTAGCCCAGGCTGGCCTCGAACTCACAGAGATCTGCCTGCTTCTGCCTCCCAAGTGCTGGGATTAAAGGCGTGTGCCACCACTGCCTGGCTAACTTGTCTTTTAATTGCCTTTCTGTTCGGCCTTCTTATTGGCTCTAAACCCAACCATATGACTTCCTTGTCACTGCCTGTCTATACAGACTTCCAGGTCTCTATGGTTCATACTGGAATTAAAAATTCGTGTCACCACTTGGCTGTGTCCTTGAACACACAGAGACTCTGCCTGCCATGTGATTGGATTAAGGGTGTGTGCCACCACCACTGGACTTCTGCTAAATGGCTCCTTTTAGCTCTGATTCCCAGGCAACTTCATTTAGCAACATACAAATAAAATCACATTTCAGCACAAATAAAATATCACCATGGGGGAGAGTAAGAGAGGAAGAAAAGAGAGAGGATTGCAAAGAGAACCAAGAGTGGACACTGAACCAAGAGAGAAGTAGCCAAAATCACTGAGGTTATATAGCAAAGAGAAGGTAGGGAAAAGGAAGGAAAGCTTAGAGGCTAGAGATGATTAGGGTAGGGGCTAGTTGTGGGAAGTGATGAGGAGCCAGGACTCTGTAATTAGTACCGATGGAGAGCCTGGTGAACAGTGTCTGATTTGATATGTTAATAGGTGCTACAGTTAGCCATTTGTCTGGATTTCTTTGAGACCTATCAAAAGCTGTAGTAAAGGACCAAGAGTGATAGTGTGGAGAAAGATCACTATAAGGAATTCTAGTGTGTTACATAGACAGAAAGAGAACAGCTAGGAGTGAGAAATCTCCTGTCTGATAGAGATATCTTCTTTACATAGAACACTTCTATGTTGTTCTTGCATAATTTTTATTCTACTTGTGAACTTATGCTGATTTATTATTGCTATTCCTCAGCAATTTTGTCTTGTTTTGACATTGGATTTGGTTATTAAGACATTGGCTTCATTTTAAATGACTTTTCTTCTTTGTATGTTTTGTGTGTTTTTATTTTATACTTTAGAAAACATTGTGAGAAGGGTTCATTAAATTTAATGAGGTATCAAAAATATTTGTCCCCAAAAGGCTGAATATATTGCTGTAGAAAAATAATAAAATCATAGTTGTTTAATCTTCTAAAAATAAGTATTTTTTTGTAAATGAGTCTTAAATTGTCTGCCATTAGCTAATGCATGATCAAATTAATAAACATACAAAATTAAATTAAAAGTCTGTAGGTTTAGTTATTAAACATGCATAATTATGAGTAATAAATCAATTACATTTGTATAACAATATACATCCTATATACCCAGCAATGAAGTTACAATATATACAGGAAGAGTTCATGGCTCATAAACACATGGTTGTAGGTTTATGACCCTACATAATCTTTGCATAGTAACCAAACTCACAACCCTTTCACGAACTTTAATGGTATATATGGGGTTTTACTTGAAGCTTAATGTTAATTTTTTCTACAGGCTACTCAGAAAGAGATTGAGAAGCAGAAGGCTCACTTGAAGAGTGTCACAGAACTAGGAGAAGCTTTGAAAACTGTGTTGGGGAAGAAGGAAACTTTGGTGGAAGACAAACTGAGTCTTCTGAATAGTAACTGGATAGCTGTCACCTCCAGAGCAGAAGAATGGCTAAATCTTTTGTTGGTAAGCAAAGAGGCAGAATCCTTTTCCACTCCTCTTTGTCAACAAGCAAACAAAACAACAACAACAAAAAACAACATCGAAAAAAGAAAATAATAATTCAGGAATGATATTTGTATTTGCTAATTCAAGTACACTCTATACATACTGATATACTAGAATATAATTCTAAGATATTTGTCTATACTTAACACTGTTTTCTATTTTTGATATGTTACTTAAAGGAAATTAAAATACTACATTTTTTCTTTTTATAAAATAGAACAAATGTTTTAAGAATTTTGTCTAACCAGTAACATGATATGTTTCTATACAATTCAGGAATACCAGAAACACATGGAAACCTTTGATCAGAATGTACAACACATCACAAAGTGGATCATTCACACAGATGAACTTTTGGATGAATCTGAAAAAAAGAAGCCACAACAAAAGGAAGACATTCTTAAGGTAGCAAATAAAATATTATGAGAAGTAGTTTGCAAACTGCACAAGTTATGACAATCATGTTTAAAGTACGAAATACCAAAGACTTTAATAAAAAAGCATAGCCCTCTCTATTTCTTTCCTTTCTGAGTTGCTTCCTTCTTTTGATCATTCATCTTTTTCTTTCCCATTTTGCTATCTCCATTTCTTTCATATTTTCCTCCTTTTATAAGAAGTAATGACATTGTAGAGTTCTATAATTTGGATATTTGTCCAAGTTCATATCTGACCTTTGTATACTCAGTCTCAGCTCACAAAGGATTAAAAGGATTTATTTTTCTGTCATACTTTAAAATCATTCTTATTTTAATGTCAGTATTCTTACGTGTTTCATGAACAATTTCTTATCCATCTATATATCCCACATTAAATACTAATTTTTTATCTACTAGTGCCAAATACCAATCTTAGAGTAGATTCAGTATCTCTGTTCTAAAAATCACTAAGTTCAGAGTGCTCCAAACTCTGAGAGTTTTAAATACTTATATCATTCCACAGTAGAATATACCATACCATGCAACACTGTTTCATGTACAAAAATTTCTAAAATATTACACAGAATTAACATTAAGCTAAATGTATAGTTGTTTATGAAATATAAATTATGTTTTGTTTGTTCATTGGCCAATCATTAAGATAGCACATTGTACATGTTCATATATTCTAAAATCTAAAGTATAAAGTACTTTCTAAAGCATTTTGAATAAGGAATATTCAACATGGCATTGTTCATTATCATCAACTTATTTAAACCAAGTTTTATATAATATACATATAAATAGACACAACATCTTACAATAAGATATCTCATATTTAAACTTATTATCCAGGCATCCTTTGTTCTATGTCACAAGATCAGCTGAAACTTTGCTTTAAAACATGATTTATACAAGATATATGAAGTAAAAATATATCTTCTTAACACTTTATCTCTAATTGATGTTATTTTCTTTCTCAATCAATTTAAAAGACTTGATTTTTTTTACAGAACTTATTTAAATTAATAATTGACTATGGTTTTGGTTGAAGTTTTTTTTTTCTTTGTGCTTGTCCTGGATCTCATTCTGTAGACCAGGCTGGCCTCGAACTCACAGAGATCAGCATGCCTCTGCTTCCTGAGCACTGGGATTAAAGGCATGAGCCACTGCTGCCATGTGTGAAGTTTTAATTAATGTGTGATTATTATTACTGCTTAAAAATTTAACTATTATTATCATTTCTGTCTTTATTTTGGTTATTCATTTTATTTTTATTTTTAAACTATGGCCATGGCAGGCTTCTTCTTCTTCTTTTTTTTTTTTGTTTGTTTTTTGAGACAGGGTTTCTCTGTGTTGTTTTGGTGCCTCTGCTGGATCTCACTCTGTAGGTTATTCATTTCTGAAGCAGGATCTTCCTAAACTATTCAAGCTGGTAACTTGAAGTCATTATGTAACACATATTATCTTTTAATTTACAAACTTCCTGTCAGTCTTTCAAGACTGTTGGGTTCATAGCTATACACCACCATAATCAGCTTATTTTCTCTTTTGTGCCATGGAATTTGCCTGTTTTAATAAAGTACTAAAGACATTCTAGTATATCTCAAACATATTTACCTCATTGTCTGGATTGTATCTTGATATGGATTTATGTTATACTCTGTAGTTTTAATTCATAATTGATTATAATGAAAGTAAAGTTCATGTAAAAATTTTGATATAATATAAACTGGATATTTGACATATGGGCCCTTTGGCTGCTTGGTTTATATGCAGTACTCCTCCTTTTATAAACAATGCAGGATATTTATGCACTAGAGAATCAACCTTTTCCATGATATTTAAGAAAAGAAAGAAGATCTCAGAAGTATCAGAAAACTATATAAACATGTGCATTGGTTATTTTCCCTCCTGAGCACATAATTCAGTGGTGCCATAACTATTAATTTGAGTAAGGATAATAGAAAATAAGACTAAATGAATAATAATAAGCTTGTTTCCAGACAATAACTAGAAGCCAGGACATTTCCCATTATCCTTCCTTAGACCAAATAGACAGATTATACATACATATATATATATATATATATATATATATATATATATATATATGAATATAATAAGAATACTAGGGTAGTATTTTTTCTACTACAAAGATTCATTCTATGGTCACTCTTAATTGAAATTGGTTTTATTATTTCACTCTGTTCTTCTGCATGTATGCCCACTTTTCTCCTTGTCATGTCTTCCCCTCCCTTTTCTCCTCTGCCCCTCCCTCCATTTCTCTCTCTCTTCCTCTGTGTCTGCTCCAACTTTGATTACTAACTTAAAGCCCTGTTTCTTGCTCATGGAATATAGCGTTTAAAGGCCGAAATGAACGACATCCGCCCAAAGGTGGACTCCACACGTGACCAGGCAGCAAACTTGATGGCAAACAGAGGTGACCACTGTAGGAAAATAGTAGAGCCTCAAATCTCCGAGCTCAACCGTCGATTTGCAGCCATTTCTCACAGAATTAAGACTGGAAAGGTAGGAAGATCTACTCCAAGGTGGAAACTTGTGCTAAATGATCTCTTGAGAAGGTTATGCAGTACTCTGAAGGGATCAAGAAATCCCCACAACAAGGTTTTCAAAAGGAGTAAGAAGGCCAAAATACACTTAAGGAAAATTTACCACTGACTATTACGGAGATAAATCTCTCTCTTCCTTTCTCTATAGCTTTCTTTCTGTCACACTTTTCCTGCCACAGCTATGCTAGAACTGCACGCTGCAATGGTTTACATTTGTACTTTCAGGGGTCACCTACAATAAATTAACAGAGCATGCCACAGGTCAAAAAAAAAAAGAAAGAAAGAAAAAGCACAAAAAGGCATCTATCTATACTAAGCACTACTGAAATAAATTTCTAAATATAATATTGCTCGTGTGTAATGCATATCAAATATCCACCATGAGGCCTTGTACATCTGCATGATCTAGGATATCTGTACCTCTTTACTTGTTATGCACATTTGTGTATATTATTTGTTCATGCTAATTGCAAACACTGTGACGAAATCATTTGGTTATGCTGAAATGCTCAAGCCGTGAAAGCAAATGAGTGTGAAACTTAAATTCAATATTTCTGTAGTTTTGTATGCCTATTTATCTTTATTCTATTTAATGAAGAACTGAGGAGTATGTTTTTTTGCATGATAATCTTCATATTTATATAACATGTAATGGATATAAAAAAACTATTAAGTAGAATGCCAAAATATGTAAATACAGGATTATAGAATGTCAATGTTTTGGTGAAGATTTGAAATGCAAGAAATTATTTGAAAATGTATCCAATGTAGTCTGATACATTTTTTCAATATAATATGGAACACATGCAAATATAAAATATGTATAAAAGAAGCACATATTTATAAATATAGTTAAGTCATGGAATCAATATAACTGAGAAAAGAAATATGTATTGATTAAAAATTTAAGTTTTTCCTTATTTCTCTTAATTAATAAAAATTGCTACATATCATATTGACATTGATTGTGTTAGGGTTCTGAAATGATAACTATACTTTATCATCACAGTAAAACTAAACACACAGAGATGAATTATATCTGATGATTTGCCTATTTATTGATTTGTAGAAAAATTGGAGAATGTGTTAACTATTTTCATAAATATGGTCATCAAATTATATATATATATATAATTATAAATATATATATATTTATAATTGCTAAAGTTTCTAAGGCATTGCAAAGTCAGAATATATATATATATATATATATATATATATATATATGTATTTAGGTATGATTCAAAATATATAAAATGTAGTATCAGAAATTATAAATAATTTGTACCATCAATTATCCTAAAAATTCACTTTCCAAAAATATGCAGTGCATAACTTGAAAAAACATAAGACGTGCTCTTAAATTTTTTTTTGTGTGTGCATACTTTTTAAAGATTGTACTCTGCTACTTAAATAGCAATTGCCATTACTTCTGATTATATTCATGGTGTATTTAACAAAATTAACTGAGGGTCTTTATTTCAATAACCAAAAATGCTATTGTGCTACTGTGTCACTCAGTTTTGTGTTGTTCCCATCAAGAATATACAATTTTGATAAACTCCTAAGCTACAGGATATTCAAAAGAATATGTGGATGTAATTTTAGGTAAATTATGCTATGAGAATGTGGCTCCCAGATACTACATTGAAAAAAGGGAGAGTTCATCCTCCACAATAAACTTAATACTTTTCTCTAAGTGAGATTCTTAACCAAGATTTCAAAATAATTTTTTTTTATATTTTGCCTGAACTTATGAGTACTGATTTTCACATCATGGATCAAATTGGACATTCAAATCTCATATGTTATTCATTCTTCCAAGTAAAACCTAAGTTATTCCAAATCAATAGCTTAACATATATATTGATAAAGCAATCAAATTTTATTTCACAGAGTATTCCTGTTTACTCTTAATTACAAAAATGACCAGATATAGAGTTGATACTGTTATGGAAAGATAATTAAGCTTTATCACGATAAAACTAAACTCACAGATATAGAATATGTCTGATTATTTTTATATTTGTTGTGCCAAGAAATAATATTGAGTTTCCAATTTGCTGGGAATTGTGCAGATGCAAGGGTGTAAAAATATTTTCTAAAAAATATCTGCTTATAAACATAAAACCAAACAAATTGCAATCATAAAATTATGCTTAATACTAAAACCTGTCCAAGGAAAATTTCAAAAAACACTAATAATTCTAGTAGGAAACAATGCTAGCTTTGCCAATGAGCTGGAGATAGACGATATCTCTAAAAGTCTGTTCTTGTAGAAGGTAGTACATTTTCCAGTTATTTTTTCAATAAAGATTTATTTTTTTAGTAAAAAATCCACATTGTAGAGTTGCATCCAACAAAGATATATTTCTTGGTAAACAATTAAATTTAAAGTAATCTTTATAGAAGGCCATAGTCTTCAAAATGATAGGCCTTCAGCACAATGAGATTTAAATTGCTTTTACCAGCATGGCTGTCACAGAAAAATATGAAATGTAACAAAGTTCAATATCCACGCAGACTCTGCAGTGATGTACTTGGAACAGCAGTGTATCTGTAGGTTGCAAAAGTAAAAGAAAAAAATAGAATTTCATTTGTCTTTTTAAAAAATAATCATAAACTTATATGTTCAAGTAAAATTTCTGGAAATTTGATATATAAGAAAATGAACACAGTTTTAAAGATATATATACTTTAATGGTTGTAAGTGTTCAAGACCTCTTTTTACTTCTAGCTCATGTGTAGTACTACACATCTTTGTGTCTCCACAAAAAAAGGAAAATTACCCTGAACCTCAAAAATAATGATTCAAAGTTATATATATATATATATATATATATATAATTTATCAAATCGTGGCATTACTAGATAGGGTGAGATTATATCCTTTAAATTTTTTTCTTTCTATGATTGAGCTCAAGCAGAATATGGTGTTAAATTTTTCAAAGTAGGTCAATCCAAAATCATATAACTTTTGAACTGGACACTTCAATATTTTTGTCTCGATAAATTGCATCTTTAAGATATTTAATGACATATATAATTTTGCATATAGAGTAGGATTCTAATAGTGTCAGCATGATATTAGATGTCAAAACCAGATTACTTGCATGTTTGAGATTGTAGTTGCTTCCCTAGGTAGATGTTCTCATAAACAAGTATAACTTATGACAAATCTTTGGTGATAAATGAAACATGAAAGTCATTTGATACTGAAGGATATTATGAACTGAATGTAAAAATTAATTTTAGGCTAGCTTTTTATCATTCAACTATAAGGACAAGTACAGCAAAGATTATCATGAGAAGTCACTGATTATTCTTCAATGCTCTGTTGAGTAATGACTAGTGAAAGGCATACTGCCATACTTCTGACACAGATTGTATATCATAAGAAATTCTAAGTCAAAACAGTGAGCCCTGGGATTCTCAATTGATACTGGACCTGGATGGGGCAACATGATGAGAAGGAAGTTCTTATGTTGAAACTCCCCTATTACTTTGGTAAATAGCTAAATATATTACTAATTGTGTAATTTGGCATGTTTCCAATTTAAATCTCAGTGCATCCTTGGCAATATATCAAATCACAAAGATCATGCTAGTCTTCTTTTAACTTCAACATTGCCATGTGGATAAATGTATATAGATAAGAAGTATATAAGTAGAAATAAATATTTGTAATAAAGTTTTGAAATGCTGAAAAAGAATGTATATCAATAGTTATTATTTTGTTAGATATATTGAGCCACTACTTAGTTCTTAAATTTTGAGAACTAAGATAACCACTGATGAACAAAGGAAAGAAGAGTAATTTTTTTCTCTTTCTGGTTTCTGCTAGAGTGGACTGGAGTTAAGAAGACATGTCTTTGCCATTTTTTTTTTTGCAAAAACTAGTCTAAAGGGTAATCAAATAGACTTAAAATTACTAGAAAGTTCTACCACACCAAATATAACACTTAAAATACTTAAAATGCTACCTCTTTCTAGTTATTTAAATTGATCAAATATTCAAGATGTTGGGAACCTGTAATATTTCTTAATCATTCTGAGATTAGTGTAAGGACATGGTAGTTTTAGGGAGTAGGCCATAATTATAAAATCAAACCATGCACCCTTTAAGAACACGGCAAATTTGAAAAAAAAAAAAGAGAGAGAAATGATAGCTTGGCTTAACTTTCTTTGCTTTAGAGCATCTGAGTTAAAAGACAAGGTGTTTGTCAAGGGGGGTGCTTTTAGGAACAGAAGGTGCCATGAAACAGATGAATAGCAAAGAGACTGGAAAGACAAAAATAAGTTACTTCTTAATGCTGTCGCTTAGGAAATCTGTTTCTCTTCATTCTTCTAGAAGCCAACTAAAAGGGAGGGGAATTAGCATTTGAAGAAATGATTGTTTTGGTGGGTCTTAAAGAATTAATGAAGATAGAATAGAGAATAAAGGAATTGTCTAGATGACTTCTCATCAGCCATACACTATTTTCAGAGCACAATGTTTGGTCCTGTGGTGACACTATCCTTAGCTCATATGTGATGGATTTAAGTAACCTACTGTTACATTCAGGATATAAATGTGAAAACTGGGCTGAGAGTCATTTTCATGGTAAGTGAATTTAGCAGTCATTCCAAAAGCTTTGAGGAGATAACCGTTTTGGATAAGCCAATTAAAAAAAAAACTCCAATATACAATGTTTAGTAGAGAGTAAATTAAGATTCCTTATGAGATAGAGGGTATGGAGCATGAAGCTTAGTTGTGGATGATAAAACACAGTATAAAGAGGTCATGACAACAAGACTAATAGATTGTGCTTAATTTAGCATGCAATGAGGATTTTGTAATGGTTCTGTTTCACTCATTGTTGAAAGATTAGTGCCCTAGTATGTGAGGAGAACACAACTGAATAGTGTCAAGAATTAGGGAAGCCAGACAGGAAGGTATCACAACAGTCTGTATGAGCT